GAAACGATTTTTTAATGAGTCCAAGATATATCCTAGATCCATTAAGTAGTCCAGGGCGCCTCCCTTGTAAAATGTAATCAAGTTTTCAGGCTGTTCTCTAGTGGCCGTTCTGGAAGATGTGAACAGAGCATGACCGATTCACAGAAAGCCGGCGCTCATCCATTCTTTGCGCAGCGTCTCCGTCGTGATGTCATGCAGCAGCTGCCACTGACTAATGAGGGGTTTGGGGAGGGAAACACTGACTCTGGGCCTTCGAGGCCTGACCAGGGGCTGTGGCAGCCCATTCAAGTGACCTAACTACTGGGGCTCTGGAGGTCAGATGGCACCAGAAGAAAGAGTCCAAATTAGCTCTGGGCTGTCCTTCAAAAAATCTGTAGTCCCCGAGAACCAGTCACAATCTGGAGGCAGATGGGGACAGAAGCAGATGGGGCCTGCAGGGGCCACATCTCAGATGCCCACGGATGGTCCTCGGAGCGCAGTGGTGGCCTTCTCCCACAGCCCCCTCTCTCGGTTTGCACCGAGCTCCGGTGTGTACATCAGCAGTGCATACGGGATGCAAGCGCCCGTGCTTGTTTTCTGATCTTATGGGGCAGCCATATAGCTCTACAACGTGGGAATTCCCTGTTTCTTTTGCTCTCCCCATTCCCAAATTATCCTCTGCCGCAAATGTGGCCTTTTCCGGAAACTCAGCTGCAGATTATTGGTGAGGCCAGCCGGCCTTGGCTGCCTGCCGTGTGTGTTTCTCGCTGAAGAGTAGAAAGTTAGATCTTACTATAGTAAGCACTCACAAGGCCCTCACGAATTTACCCTTACTCAGTTTCTCAGAAATGGATAACGCCGAATACTTCCAACTTCTTTGTTGAATATCAGACTCTGAACAAAGCTGGCAAAATAGTTCCATCTTGCGTGCCGACTCCAGCAGATGTGAAGGTACCTGGAGTCTGGTGTCTAAAGAGCCTCAAGTGGAGTCCAGGCTGAGCAGGAAAGGCCAAAATCGATTAATAATGTCTGCGAAGGTGACAAATCAAAGAACAGGAGAAGGTGTGATTACCTTTGTCTGGAAAGCTGGGTAGCTGTGCTGAGAGCTATTTAATCTGTGGTCATGTCATCATCACCATCATCAAGGCCTTAATTTTTTTCTCCATTGTCTTTTTTTTTTTTTTTTTTTTCAGAACTGGGGATTGAACTCTGGCCCTTGCGCTTGCTAGGCAAGCACTTATTCTACTGAGCCTCTCCCCGGCCCCGTGCACTGTCCTTTTCAAATTCTGGGGAGCTAGTTTTCTACTGAGTGCCTTTATGAAATTTCACTCGTGATCTCAATCATGTTACGTAGTGGTTTTGGTCGCTCTTAGGTAATTAGAAAATCCTCTGGCCGTTCCTGTTACTAGGACGGTTGCAGCTTTTGGCTCTCTGCGTTACCCTAGTCATGACTGCTGTGACCTCAGGATCCGTATGAGTCATTCTTCAGTAGCTCTGACGTTCATTTCTCCACCTGATCGCAACCATGTACTCTTGTCTTGGCTGTATGATTATGGTAACTGCAGACCTTCTGTTGTCTCAGTTTAAGCCTTCAGCCCTCCTTTTCAGCCCCAACAATTCTGTGGGGATTTTTTGTTGTTGTGGTGGTGGTGGTGGGTACTGGGAATTGAACTCAGGACCTTGTGCTTGCCAGGCAGGTGCTGTGCTATTGAGCTACATCCCTGGTTCCAATTCTGTCCATCCATCCTGTTATCTTTTCACCATTCTTCATCCCCTCCTTACCTCTGTGCCCAACTTTCCCAGTCTTGATACCATAGGAAAGCAAGATTGTCACCTGTCACCTACCTTTGTCCCACTCCTGATTCATTATGATAACTGGGGTTATATCTAACTTCATAAAGTTAGATCCATCCCTGTCTCTGTTACTTTTCTCTCATTGCTGGGACAAAATACCCAACACCCAAAATGAAGGAAGGAAAGGTTTATTTAGCTCACAGTCTGTGGAGATTTCAGTCCGTACTCAGCTGGCTCCAAGGCAGAGTAGCAAATGGCAGGGGGCAGCCGTTCATGGGGGCAGCAAAGAGCAAGAGCAAAAGGAGGGGCAGCAGCTCAGGCAGCTAGCTAGCCTCTCTCCCCTCCTTATGCTATAACGCAGATTACCCCCCTCCTCTGCAGGTACAGCATCCACACCTGCAATCCCAGCACTGGATCAAGAATCAATCACTAACTCCAGAAGCCACCTCATGACTATATGAGGCTTTGGGGGGACACCTAAACACAAACCCTAAAACCCCCCATCCCTACACAGCTGAATGTGACCTCTGCATGCACACAAACACACTCGTTGGTCCCGCTTGCTTCATGATCATCACCTCCAAGTAGGCCTTACTGGACAGCTGGAACCATTCTCCGGTTCCTGATCCTGTCACCCTTCCACTGTTCCAGAAACTGTTACGCTGTCTTCACTTGCATCATTAAATTTCTCATGGTTCTCTTGGGGAATGCCCACATACCATCTGCTTGTGTTACTGGGAACTGACATGAAGTGTCATATTTTCTGAGACCCATTCCCTCACCCTGGGCATTTTCCTGTGGTCCACACTGTACTCCCCACAGGTCCTCAAAGGTCAGTGACCACCGTCCTTCCATCACACCTGTCCCATCACCACCTCCCCAGAGCTGGCTCTTCCTGGACTCTGAATGGCCGCCTGTCAAGTGCTTGTGGGTGTGAACAGCTGGTGAGCCAGCTTCCTGGGCTGCTGCAATGCTGGGAGACAAGCTTCAGTTTTCATTGTCTTATGAAGTTCAGTAGAAACACAAGTAGGCATTTAGTGAGGAGAAGGCTCTTGGAGGGAAGCAGACAGATTTGGGCCACACTCTCAGGCCGAGTCTAAGCAAGGAAGAGCTGACCCCCCAGCCAGCAGCCCTGGTGTATCTTGAGGATTGGAAAAGTTTTTTGGGTTTTTTTTTTTTTTTTTGGTGGAACTGGGGATTGAACTCAGATCCTTGTGTTTGCCAGTCAAGCGCTTATCCTACTGAGCCATTTCCCCGGGCCCCTGGAAAAGTTTTTTTTTTGCAGAACCAGGGATTGAGCTCAGATCCTTGCATTTGCCAGTCAAGCACTTATCCTACTGAGCCATCTCCCCGGCCCCCCTGGAAAAGTTTTAAAAGGACAAAATCCCTTCATGGGATGAGCATAGCTTGGATGCCACACCCTTCAGAGCAGCAGTGCCTGAGATGAGACAGGTTCAGATCCAAGCTCCTCTGTTACCTAGTCAGAAGGCCTTGAGCAAGTTCTCTCACCCTCTAGGCTTGAGGTCCTCATTTCTAAAATGGGGACAGCACCTTCCTGTACCCTGTGGTGAATGTGAGGAGTGGCAAAGCCAATGCGTCAGAAGCATTCCAAACAAGTTCTGGTCCTTAAGAAGTGCCCACTAATAGGATTCTTATGGTCATAGCTGGATGTCCCCCAGAGCTCATGCACTCATTGGTGGGGCTCTGGAGAGGTGATTAGATCTGGGTGTGTGATACGGGATTCATCCTCTATTTGGTTTAGCACAGTTGTTCTGGGTGTAGGTGATGGATTTACAGAAGACAGAAGCCCTACCCTGGGTGTGGGGGCACCAACCAATGGGCCTGAGGCCTATTGGAAAGGGAAACGTGGAACGAAGGCTACTGCTTCCGCCCTGCCACACCATGAGCTGGTTCTCTTCTGCTGAGCTGCCCTGCCTTGGAGCCAGCCAGCTATGGACAGAAACTTCTATGAACTACATGCCCAGCAAGCCTTTCCTCCATTCACTCGTGGGTGTCAGGTATTTTGTCTCAGCACCTAGAAAAGTAACTAACAATGATTTATAAACTTGGGCCAGCCAAATAGTTCAGCAGATTAAAGTGCCTGCAAGCGGACAAAGGGGCCAGGGGTTGGATCCCTGGGCTTGTCATGCCAGTCCCCCCTCCCCCCCCCCGCCCCAGACACGCTGAGAAGAATAAGACTGGGCATGGTGGCACATGCCTGTAATCCCCGCACTTGGGAGGCCGTAAACAGGAGGATCACTACAAGTCTGATCTATGCAGTGAGACCCTGAACACCCTGTACACCCTGTCCTAAATGCAAAAACAAAAAACAACAAAAATTAAAAACCAACCAACCAACTAGTGCGCTATTACCTTTGAGTCCCACAACAGCCTTCTGAGGAATTATTATCTGTGTTTTACAGAGGAAGGGACTGCAGGTCAGAGAGGTCTTAGAGATGCTTGAGACCACTTGGACAGAGCATGGCAGAGGTGGCACTTGTGCTGGGATGACAGGGCTCTGCTGTTGCACTGAGGACTTCAGAGCTCCCTCTGGATGACGCTGTTCTCCCCTTATCACAGAGATTCACATCCCTTCCCATCCATGCATGCTCTGACTTCCCCAAGAAGATGCTGTAAAGCATTTGCTGTGTGGTCACAGGCCACAACTGTGTTTAGACAGAGCAGGGGCAGCTGATTAACAAGGCCACAGCCCTCAGAGGACAAGTGGTTCTGAAGTGGCACGCTGTCATCCTGCTGGGTTGAAATGTTGCTCTAAGTTGTCCTGACTCAGCTTCCTTCTCTGAAAGGCAAGAAACCCTCCTTTGCCCAGAGGATGGACTGTAAGTCGAGCTGACAGAATTGCAAGTGCTGTTGACATGGCCCAGATCCTTGCTTTGTGGCCAGAGGGATGACATTTTATTGTGTGACCACAAGCTTTCCAGATAGCAGTAGGGGCCACAGAAAGATCCCTGTTCTTCCTCCAGGCCTAGGGGACAAGGAGGTCATTCATCAGAACCAGGGGAGAGTAATTCAGGGAAGAGAGCCTATTTTCTGGAAACATCTCTCAGTAGATCCTTAGGGAGAAGCTACAAGGCTCTTCATGGAAATATTTTGGAGTAATCCCAAGTACTTACAAAGCTCCTGTGGTGATGCTGACAATATTGGGAATTTACCAGGGGCACCAGGCACAAGATGGCAGAAAAAGCCCCGCTGTAGACCTAGCAACGATGAGCCACGAGGCCTTGCAGGGTACTTGTGTCTTTGAGCCTTAGTTTCTCCTTCCATAAAGTGAGTGATTTGGATCCTTCTGGGAACCCCACCATAAGATTTTATTATTCTGTAATTCCATGAACCAAAATTTCAAAAGTGGTTGTGCTCCCTCATAAAATAACAAAGACTTGGGTCCTAAAAGTCTTTGCCTGCATTAGCATCTGCTCTAGAGCTTTTGGGCTTCATGGTTGTCACGGTGTCCTTGAACTGACCGCTCTGACTCAGGCCCTTCTACCTGGAGGCCTCTCACCTTTAATCATACAGATATTTGCTGAAGGCTTAGTGTACTTCCAATTGCATGGCTTCAAAGGTGCGTGAGGCATTTTCTGCCCTTGGGGAATCAACAGCGAGCAAGCCAGTGAGGCCAAGATTCACAGGACTTGGTACTCCAGAGATTTCTCTAGGGCTGGGGTGTAGCTCAGTGGTAGAGCATTTGCCTGGTATGCTCAAGGCCCTTGTTTCAGTCCCCAGTATCAGGGAAACAATCGAACAAACCTCCAAACCAAAAAAGCCCCTCATGAATAATAGAACCCCAACCATCTCCATTTCCTAGAGTAGTCATTTTCAGAGAGTGCCTGGGCCATTGTCATCAGCTACACCCCAGTTCATGTTAAAAATGTTATTTCCAGGTGGCCTCTCCAAGACCTACTGAACCAGAAGCTCCTGGGTGTGGCCTCCAGATCTTAGCTGTTAGCAAGTCTCCCCAGGGAGTTGGGCCACAAGCTCAGGGTTGAGAACCATTACACCAGCCCTTCCAGGGACAAGCTGAACCGTGGCTCTGAGCCCTCAGGGGACCTGAAGTTTTCTTAAAGAAAACTTGGTCACTTAGGGCTGCCAGGATTTGCTGATTTCGACTAAGAACCACAACCCACTTGGAACCTCCGACAGCATTTTGAAGCATTGCGGTATTTCTGTAACCGTCCAGACGTTGTGGAAACTAGCCATTTGTTTTGATGGGAACCCATCCAGTTTTGCATACAATTCCACATGGACCTTCCACGCTTCCCTCTAAATTGATTGTGATGCTTACTGAGATGTGTCTCACCATGACTAAAACCCATAATAATAACCCCAGGCCAGGGAGAACCCTCTGCTTCCAAAGATGTCCAGAGAAAGAAAGTTCTCAGGGTATCTCTTTGTATCCTGATTTAGATACACAGTCCAGGGGCTAGTCCTCTCGGTAAAGGAGCCTTTGACTAACAGCCTCCTTCAGGGAAGAGTTGAAGCTCAGGCCCTGCTGTCCTCAGCAAGTGGAGACCACCAGGCCATATGGCAGGGTATGTTCAGACAGGAAGTATGGGCAGGTCAGGGCCTCTTGGAGAGGGTCTTGTCTGTATTCTGGGGTGTCCTCCTTCCTGGGACTTGGGTCTATCATCTTCCAGATGCTTACCATGGATGCCACCATGAAAAATTAGAAACATGACTGCCAAGGGCCTCTCAGGGCACAGGACTGCCTGCCTTTCCATCCTGTACCCCTTCTGGAACACATGTCTGGGTGCAGCACCAACTACAGAGCTGAAAGCTGTAGCCCGGGCACAGTGCAGACTAAGGAAGGAGGACTGTAGGCAGGAGGGTGGGCACAGCACAGCTACCATATTGGATCTGTTTAGTTTGGTGTGGTCCTGGGGATTGAACCCAGGGCTCTCTACCACTGAGCTAGATCCCTTGCCCACATTATTTTCTGAGACCAGGTCATGTTAAATTGTCCAGGCAGGACTTGAACTTGGAATCCTTCTGCCTCAGCCTCCGCCAGTACTGAGTTTACTCCCGGCTCCATCTTAGCTCTTTCCTCATTCATTTCCTGATATTCCTGCAGCTGTCCAGAGAGGTCCTGAGTATTAATGTCCTCTCCATATATTTTCCGTTTTCTGAAAGACAAAGTCTTTTTTGGACTCCCTCTGTCTCCATATCCTCATCCATCCAATGGGTATGATACTCGTTGGCTATTTTCTTAGTAGCTTATCCTGCAAATGAAATGAGACCATTGTGGTAAAAGGGCTCTGGGGAAAAAGATTTTAACGCCTCCTACAAATGTCAGATGCATGTTGAGCTTTTCTTGGTCCTGGAAGCCAGTTGGTGGGTCTGCTTGAGAATTCACCTTAGATTCTTGCTGTCCCCAGGGTTGTGTGCAGGTGTAGCAGGAGGCTGACTTTTGGCCAGGGTGCTGGGGTTTAAGGCACCTCCTCCTCCACAGTGGTCAGATGGGGGGCTCTGTGATGAGGTGTGTGCGGGCATGCAGGACGAGTCACAGCCTGGCAAGCTGGCCTGGACAGGATGAGCTCATGGGTCTTTCCTGCTTCCCATTTTTATGACTGGCTTCACTGTTTGATTTCTGGCTTTCTCTCTCTGCCTTGCAGCTGTGGTGATTGAAATTTAGGGCAAGCATTTGAGATCCCTTTTCTAATTCCTTTAAAATCCTGATTTAGACACAAAGTCCAGGAAGGGGGTGGGAAGGGAACTAGGGTCAGCTAAAGGCAGTATGTTAGTCTACTTTCTGTTACTGTAAGGAAGGACCTGTGGCTGGGTAACTTTATAATGAATGTAGGTTTATGGTGGAGCCAAGTAAAGAGGCCACATCTGGCTGTGTGCTTCTTGTTGGCAGAGTTCCGAGGTAGCCAGGGCATCACATAGCATGAAATGGGGAGCACATGAGTGGATGTGTGCCTCCCCATCTGCCCCTTCTTTCTAATCCAACTGCTTTGCCTCTAGAAGATCTCACGTCTCATCTCTAACATCCTGTTCTCTTAATAGCTGCTGTCAAGACCGCATTTTCACTCTAGCTCCTGATTCATCGTTCCATTAGTTATGTCCTCCTACATTGACTGTGAACTGCTGAGACCCATAGGGCTTTCTATGGTCCTGGGGAAAAATGTCAAGGGGATTTATAAAATAAAGACAAGAGATGAAAGCTGAGGTCAGGTGGTTTCTTTCCAGATGGGAGAAGAGCCACTGCACAACCACTTTAAAGATGTTTATTTATACTTGTGACAAAGTTAGTATCATGCACACAGGGTTGCCTAGCAACTAATGACTGAATTGTCTCAAGCAAGATGTTTTTCTCAGGACTGAGGTAGCACTTTGGCCTTGTCTTGCCCCCACACAGATGGCCAATTTCCAATTTCAGCTGCTCCCTGTGGTAAACCCATTGATGATGTGAGCTTTTCTATTCTTTCCAGTGCCCTGCCAAGCTTTTGTGCCATGCAGCAAGTAATAAAGTAATTTAAAATTTTTATTAATGTATTTAGTAGAGTCTACAGGTCCCACTACGCAGATCAGACTTGTAGTGATCCTCCTCTTTCCAGCCTCCCAGGAGCTGGGATTACAGGTATGTGCCACCACACCCAGTCTCATTCACAGTCTCAGCACACCTCAGAGGTGGGACTGGCACAACAGGCCAGGGATCGAACCCCCGGCCCCTCTGTTTGCCTAAGCAGGCACTTTAATCCACTGAGCTATCTGGCTAGCCCTAGTAATAAAGCAGTTTTGACCTTGATCATGTGTTTGGCCACCTAAAAATTGCATTGATGTTTTTTCTAGAGATAAATAAGCATGTCTATAAATCTTACCTATAACCAAGGGTATCTATTATCTATCTATCTATCTATCTATCTATCTATCTATCTATCTATCTACCTACCTACCATCTATGTATTATCTACCTACCTACCTACCTACCTATTATCTATGTATTACCTATCTACCTACCTACCTATCTACCTACCTATTATCTATGTATTACCTATCTACCTACCTACCTATCTACCTATCTCTCTATAACTTCCCAGAGTGGGTAAGAAACCCAGCACTCTGGAGGCTAGTCATCAGCTCTAGATTTCCGACAATAGTCCATCTGCTCTAAGTCCTTAATTCTCCTCTAATATGTTGGGCCTCTCTTCTTCCCCCAGAGAGCTCTTGTGCGAATAAGCGGGCAGACCTGGTCTTCATCATCGACAGCTCCCGCAGTGTCAACACTCACGACTATGAGAAGGTCAAGGAGTTCATCGTGGACATCTTGCAGTTCCTGGACATTGGTCCTGATGTCACCCGGGTGGGGCTGCTCCAATATGGCAGCACGGTCAAGAACGAATTCTCCCTCAAGACCTTCAAGAGGAGGTCGGAGGTGGAGCGGGCTGTGAAGAGGATGCGACATCTGTCCACAGGCACCATGACGGGGCTGGCCATCCAGTATGCCCTGAACATTGCCTTCTCAGAAGCAGAGGGCGCCCGGCCCCTCAGGGAGAATGTGCCACGGGTCATAATGATTGTGACAGACGGGAGGCCACAGGACTCAGTGGCTGAAGTGGCTGCAAAGGCACGGAACACAGGCATCCTGATCTTCGCCATTGGCGTGGGCCAGGTGGACTTCAACACACTCAAGGCCATTGGGAGTGAACCCCATGAGGACCATGTCTTCTTGGTGGCGAACTTCAGCCAGATAGAGTCGCTGACCTCAGTATTCCAGAACAAGTTGTGCAGTAAGTCTTGCTCCTCTGTGGTTCTTTGGGAGGCTATGTGGGGGGGGTCACTGGGATTCGTTCACTAATCTTCAAGTGCCCATTCTGGCCTGCTCTGTGCTGGCAATGGGTGTCAGCAAAGACCAACACAGATGGCATTTCTCTGGGGCTTCTACCTTGGCCAAGGAGACAGTGACTAAATGTGTGACTGCATGGAGGAGTGACTGTAGTCTAGCAGTGCAGTGGAGAAAGAGCTCAGGGTACGAGGACGCTGAGAGCCCCAGGGCCAAGAGGAAACAAAGGCATCTCTAGCATTTGGGCTGTGCTGGCAGGCCCTCAGGTGGAACTTGTGAGTTGGGACAGGGCAGAAAGGCAGAAGTCATGACATCGCTCCTTACACGATGTGAATACCACAGTCCCTGTGCCCTGGAGTGGTGATTAGCAGTGGGTGTCAGTGTGGGGAGGGCCAAGGTGTGGTCCTGGCACCTTTCACCTAGTGGCACCTTCTGCCTGGTGGAACAGGCCCCTGTGCCCACCCAGCTCCTTCTGCCGGAAGCTGGCTGCCGGGTTGCATACTTCTGCTTAGAATTTTCTTCCCTCCCTTAGAATTTTCTTCCCTTAATAACCCTGTTTTCAGCTCTCCCTTCCTTTCCCCACTCCTCCCATGGACCTCTGACCCCAGCTCTACCCCCACTTTTCTTTGCATCTTCCTGCCCCTGTGGCTGCCCTCACTGCCCTCCTCCTCTGGGAGGGCAGAGGTCTGGGGCGCCAACTCAAGGTACCATTTTGTCCCTGATAATTAGAGATATGCCTCCTGACTTGGTGAATGCTGTTCCACCCTGCTTCACCCACTTCAGTGTTCTTTTTCCCCTCCAGCTACCATGCTGTTTTCACTGGGGAAACAGAAGAAAATGTCTATTTATTTATTTGGTTTTTTTGAGACAGGATCTCACTGTGCAGTTCAGGCTGGGTTTGAATTTGCAGTGATCCTCCTGCCTCAGCCTCTGGAGTGCTGAGATTGCAGGTGTGCTCCACGATGCCCAGATTAAAACATCTATATTTAATTTTCAAATGACCAGTCTTTCCCTGGGGTATGGGTGGGGCCAGACTCCTGGCCACCTGCCCAGGAGGGGACCCCATCCTTGGGAGGGCTTTCAGGACCCATTCTCAGAATGTGACAAACCGAGTTACCCCCACTCCTGTGACATAGAAGCCTTAGCAAGCCAGAAAAAGGATGTGTTTTTGATGTGTCTTTAAAAAAAAATCTGCCCAAGTACTAACCTCAAAAAGCAGAGACCCCATTTTTTTCTTAATTACAGAATCATAAGACTCACTTTAAAAAATCAATGACATGGAGGAAAAATAACCTTTCTCTCTGCAATGTCACTTGGAAGACATTCAAAAGTGCCATTTCCCTGGCGCCACAGGGAGGCTGTATTATTGTGGTGTCATATGGGCCGAGTCAACTGGAAAAGTTCGATCAGAGGAACACGCTGCAGACATTTTTAAGGTTTATGACTTTAAATGACTTCTGCAGAATTTATCTTCCCCCTTTCCTGGAAATATTAAAAGAGAGAAATCGGTTCCCTAACACTTTTGACAGTCTGCTCACGGGCACTGCAACATATAGCAGAGGACTGTGTGTGTGTGTGTGTGTGTGTGTGTGTGTGTGTGCTTGAGACAGGCAGGGTCTCACTATGTGTATAGATAAGATTTTTTTCTTTTTATTATTATTATTTTGTATTTTAGTACCTGGCCTACAGGGTCTCACTACATAGGTCGGACTCATAGTGATCCACCTGTATTCAGCCTCCCAAGAGCTGGGATTACAGGCCCACACCCCATGGGTGGGGCTGGCATGGCAGGCTGGGGATCGAACCTTGGCTGCTGCGTCTGCCTAAGCAGGCACTTTCAAAGGCGCTTGAATCCACTGAGCTATTTGGCTAGCTGAGGGTCTCAATATGGAGGCATATTGAGACCCTCAGGCTGGCCTTGAATTTGAGGCATTCTTCCTGCCTCACCCTCCTGAGTGCAGCTGGGGTTACACAGGTGTGCGCCACCACACCCTGCTGCGCCTTCCTTTCTGAACACCCTGGCTTGAGCAGTGGAAGGCAAGGCCGTGAGGTGGAGGAGCCCTGCAATGCGACCTGCCCCGGCTGGGGGCCTGGCTGGGCAGAAGCTGGCTGTGTGCAGTTGAGACTTTTGCCCCCCTCAATCCTTGTTGCAGTCTGGTAGCTCTAAAAAAGCATCCATCCTGTCCTGTCCCACACTGGCTCCCCTCCAAGCCCTACCCGGCTCTGCTGAGGAACGTCCCTAAGGGGCTGGAGAGGCCCCAGAGCCTCTCTAGAAGCAATGCTACTGATCCACAGTAACTCAGCCGGTTAGGCACTATCCCAGCGCCACCTTTGCATTTGATCCTCAGGGAAACCCAGAGGGCAGAGGCTCCACTGTCCCACCTTTTCCTCAGGTTGCCAAGCTGGTTAGTGAAGTGGCCAGAGTGCAGCCAGAGGCAAGGCCCCAACCCCAAGCCTCTTGCTCTGCCACTCCTCCCCAGGTCAGGAACTAGAAATTCCTCTCCCGAGGCAACTTTCTCTGATGGCAGTGCTGGGGTCAGTCCAGTCTCGCTGCTGGATGAAACTGCTCCAGGCGTGGCATTCTCCCCACACAGTAAACTCCGAAGCTTTGGCTCTAGCTGCTTGACCCTGACCCCTGGCTTTGTGTGTCTGGAGCCCCACTGGCCTCATCTGGAAGGTGGGGGTTTCCCATGCAGAGGGTAGAGGTGTGCACAGGCATTAGGAGCCAGAGAGCCCTACTCAGTGAGGGTCGTGTGTATATCTCGTGCTCCAACTGAGGGGCAGCACATAGGCAACTGGGCTTGGGTGTTTGAGATTGAAGCCTGACCCTGTGCACTGAACTTTATCCCTAACCCTTAAAAATTGTTTCTAAATATTGAGACAGAGTCTCATTAGGTTGCTAAATTTAACTGTCCAGGCTGGGGTTTCA